TCTCTCTCTCTCTGTTACTCTCTCTCCCTCCCACTCTACCTGAACAAAAAATGGAAAAATGTCCTCGGGTGAGGATTAAAAAAAAAAAAAACACAGTGAAAGCCCGGCCAGTGTGGCTCAGTAGTTGAGCGTCGACCCATGCACCAAGATGTCACCATTTTGATCCTAGTCAGGGCACATGCCCAGGTTGTGGGCCAAATCCCTAGTGGGGTGCATGAAGGAGGCAGCCAGTCAATGTTCTCTCTCATCAATGTTTCTTCTATCTCTTTCTCCCTCTCCCTTCCTCTCTCTAAAATCAATAAAGAAAATAATAATAATTAAAAAAAAAAAAAGCCCTGGCCAGTTTGGCTCAGCAGTTAGAGCGTCGGCTTGTAGACCAGAGAGTCCTGGGTTTGGTTCCCACTAAGGGCTCATGATTTGGTTGCGGTTGGGGCCATGTGGGTGGCAATTAGTTGATGTGTCTCTCTCACATCGATGTTTCTCTCTCTCTTCCCCCCTTTCTCACTCCCATTCTGTCTGAAGATTAATGTAAAAATGTCCTTGGGTGAGGATGAAAAAATAATAATAATAATAAAATAAAACCACAATGAAGGCCATGGCTGGGTAGTGCACTTGGTTAGCATGTCGTTCCAATACATCAAGGTTGCAAGTTTGATACCAGATAAAGGCACATAAAAGAATTAGCCAATGAGCCCTGGCCGGTTTGGCTCAGCGGTCAGAGCGTCGGCCTGTGGACCAGAGAGTCCCAGGTTCGGTCCCCGATAGGGGCACGTACCAAAAAATAAAATAAAGTTAACAATATGTATATATTTTTTAACCTTTTTTTTTTTTTTTTTATCCTCACCCGAGGACATTCGGTGTGAAAGGGACACATCAAGTGGTTGCCACCCGCACGACCAACCAGGGCCGGGGACAAACTGCAACCGAGGTACGTGCCCTTAGCGGGAACCGAACCCCGGTCTCTCTGTACCGCAGGCCGATGCTCTAGCCGCTGAGCCAAACCGGCCAGGGCTAAAGTTAACAATATTTAAAAAAAAAAGAATTAGCCAATGAATGCATAAATAAGTGGAACAAAAAATCAATCTCTCTCTCTCTCTCTTTCTCAAACCAAAGAATACAAAAATAAATAAATAAAATCACACTAAAATACCACTAACGTCTATAAAAATGGTTAAAATAAAAAAATAGCCCAGCCAGTGTGGCTCAGTGGACTGAGCGTCGTCCTATGGACTGAGAGGTCGGGGTATGATTCCTGGTTGTAGGCTCAAGCCCAGTGGAGGGGGCGGGGGCTGCATTTCTCTCTCATCCATGTTCCTATCTCTCTCTCTAAAAAAATCAATAAAAACATATTTTTTAAAAAATAGTGATAATAGAGAACCCAAAAATTGACCCAAGACATTATGCTCAATTAATATTTGACAAAGGTGGCAAGAGCATACAATGGAGTAAAGACAGCCTCTTTAATAAATGGTGTTGGGAAAATTGGACAGCTACATGCAAAAAAATGAAACTAGACCATCAACTTACACCATACACAAGAATAAACTCAAAATGGATAAAAGACTTAAATGTGACTCGTGAATCCACAAAAATCCGAGAAGAAAATGTTGGCAACAAAATTTCAGACATCATACGCAGAAGAATTTTCACTGATACAATGCCTAAGGCAAGAGAAACAAAGGAAAAAAATGAAAATGAACACATGGGACTATATCAAACTAAAAAGCTTCTGCACAGAAAAAGAAACAACCATCAAAATGGAAAGGGAACCCACTGTATGGGAGAGCATAATTGCCAACGATACATCAGATAAAGGGTTAATTTCCAAAATATCTAGAGTACTCATACAACTCAACAAAAGGAAGACAAAGAACCCAATTAAAAAATGGGCAGAGGCCCTGGCCGGTTTGACTCAGCAGTTAGAGCATCAGCCTGCGGTCCAGAGAGACCCAGGTTCGGTTCCCGCTGGGGGCGCGTACCTCGGTTGCAGTTTGTCCCTGGCCCTGGTTGGGTCGTGCGGGTGGCAGCCACTTGATGTGTCCCTTTCACACCGATGTTTCTCTCTCTCTCTCTTCCTCTCTCTCCCACTCCATCTGAACAAAAAATGAAAAAATGTCCTCGGGTGAGGATGAAAAAAAAGGAGGGGGGGGGGCAGAGAACCTAAAGAAACACCTCTCCAAACAGGACATACGAATGGCCAAGAGACATATGAAGAAATGCTCAACATCACTAATCATCAGAGAGATGCAAATTAAAACAACCATGAGGTATCACCTCACACCTGCCAGAATGGCCGCCATCAACAAATCATAAAACAACAAGTGCTGGCGAGGGTTTAGAAAAAAAGGGGCTCTAGTACACTGCTGGTGGGAATGCAGACTGGTTCAGCCACTATGGAAAACACTATGGTGTTTCCTCAAAAAATTAAAAATTGAACTGCCATTTGATCCAGTGATCCCACTTCTAGGAATATATCCTAAGAAGCCTAAAACACCAATCAGAAAGATTGTACCCCTATGCTCATAGTGGCACTATTTACAATCACTAAGATCTGGAAACAGCCCAAGTGTCCATCAGTAGATGAGTGGATAAAAAAGCTGTGGTGTGTATATATATACAATGGAATACTATGCAGTTGTAAGAACGAAAGATCTCTTATCCTCTGAGACAACATGGAGGGACCTTGAGAGTATTATGCTAAGTGAAATAAGCCAATGAACAAGGTGGGTTGATGAATGAAATAGACCCAGAGACACAGAAAGGAGTATGGTTCAGACTGACAAACCTCACAGTAGGGGGGCAGGGAGAATGGGTGAGATAAACCAAAGAACTTATATGTATATATGCATAACCAATGGACAGAGACAACAATGCTAGGGGGGTAAGGGGAGGGATGGGGAGGAGGGTATCTAGTGGGGGAAAAGGAGAAACATCTGTAACAAAAATAAATTAATAAAATTTGGGAAAAAATAAAAATAGTGATAATATCCACATTCTGGTAAGGTTGTGAAGAAATGGGACCATTAATACATTGCTGATGGGAATGTAAAAATGTACGGCTTTGCTAAAAAACAGTTTGGCAATTTCATATAAAAGTAAACATGAAATTACCATACAGCCCAGCAACTGTTCTTCTGGGCATTTATAAGAGAGAAATCAAAACTTATATTTACATAAAAACCTATACATAACTGTTTTAGCAGCTTTCATAATAGCCAAAAAGTGGAAGGAAGGAAGGAAGGAAGGAAGGAAGGAAGGAAGGAAGGAAGGAAGGAAGGAAGGAAAAAATCCAGATGTCTTTAAAGGAGTGAATGGTTAAAGAAATTGTGATACATCCATACCATAGAATACTACTGAGCAATAAAAAAGAATAACTACTGATACACACAACCTGGATGAATCTCTAGAGAATTAAGCTGACCTAAAAAAAAAAAAAAAAAAAAAAAAAAAATGGCAATCATCGGAAGTTACACATTATATGATTCCATTTCCTATAACATTTGTGAAACAACAAAAATATAGAAATGGGGAACACATTGGTGGTTGCTAAGGTTTAAGAGGGAATGGGATGGGAGGGACATGGTCATGGCTGCAAAAAGACACGAGTGATACCTGCAGTGATGGAAATACTTTGAATCTTGACTGCATCAATATGAATATCTCAGTTGTGATACTGTACTATAGTTTTGCAAGATGTTGCCATGTGCCCTAAGAAGCCTGAAACACCAATCAGGAAGAATATATGCACCCTCATGTTCATAGCAGCACTATTTACAATAGCTAAGATCTGGAAACAGCCCAAGTGTCCATCAGTAGACGAATGGGTAAAAAAGCTGTGGTACATATACACAATGGAGTACTATGCAGTGGTAAGAAAGAAAGATCTCTTATCCTTTGAGACGACATGGAGGGACCTGGAAAGTATTATCCTAAATGAAATAAGCCAAGCAGAAAAAGACAAATACCACATGATCTCACTTATATACAGAATATAATGAACATAACAGTCTGAGGAATACGGTAGACCCAGAAACATGGAAGTAGGGCACAGACTGACATCCCTCAGAGAAGGGGGTGGGGGGTTGGGAGGAGCTAAACCACAGAACTTATATGCATATATGCATGACCAATGGACATGGACAACAAAGCCCAGGACAGGGCGGAGGTGGGTGGGGAGGGGGGTGCCAATGGGGTAAAAAAGGAGAAACATCTGTAACAAAAAAATAAATACAAAATTTAAAAAAAGTAACATCTCATAAACTCAAAGAGATTATATTTTATAATGTAATAAGAATATACTATTTAAAATAATTAACCTTATTGTGAATTTATTTCATGCCAAGTACTACATTAAGCATTTTCTATACATGTTCTCATTTAATCCTCACGATATAAATAAAGACTCTTTATGGCACTGTTTGAAAATATCCATAATATAGAAAGAGGCAAAAGATAATTGCATGTGTGTTCAATGTCACACTAGAGCATTGTCAACCAGGACTAGCCAAGAGTTCTGTAATTTTCTAGTTCTCTCTATATTTTGTTGATATTGATGAAAGTTTTAACAACTCTGGAAAAAAAAAAAAGATGTTGCCATGTGGGTAAATGGGTAAAGCATATATGGGATCTCTCTATATTGTTTGTTATAATTGCATGCAGATCTCTCTACAATTACCTTAAAATTAAAAGTTTAATTTAAAGAACTATATATGTCGCTAGCGTTATTTTTCTGTTAGACTGTGCTGCCTTTAGAGAATTTGTAAGATCTCCTGAGACAAAGGCTTCATATCACATGGATATGAAGCATAATGGATGCTTTATTGAATTGAAAACACTATAAATTTTTTGTCTCACTGCTGACATTCACGAATAACTTACTAAAATGGTTAACACAAAGTATCACTAATATAAAGTTCTGTCAATATCTCACTTGCTGCTTTTATTCTTTTTTTCTTAACTTGGATGATTATTTATAAATCTAACTAGTAATTTCTACTTACATGTTTTTTCCGTAGATTTACTTGATGCAATATGGTGGTGGTCTTTTTCTGCTTTTACAAGATGATTTTCCTTACAACACCCTATTCTTGAACAGTTGGTTTTGTCAACTGTGGTCATGGGATTGCAATCACTTTGCAAGGTACTGTGTCTCTTCAACGTTGACTTTTTGGTTTCACACTCATAAGCTCCTTCAATGAGATCATGCCAATTGTAATTCACAAGATTTACAGTTCCCACAGGGACAGTAATATTATACTCAGCATATTTCTGCAATGTTTCCCCAAGTTCACACAGTATTTCAGCAGCAATGAGTTTGTATTCTTCAAACAGATTCTTTTGTAGGTATAACTTGGAAGGTGTTTGTAAAATGGCAGATGAGTGAAACTCATAATTCTCCTCCAATGTAGCTACTGTAGATAGTCTTGATCTCTCTTCTAGTTCTCCACATTCCTTACTCTTTGTAGAACTGTAAAAAACATATGTGAGCCTTAAAGATATTTAATACTTTTTAACCTAGTCATTTGACTTCTAGAATCTATCTTAAAATATAACACCTGGCCAGTGTGGCTCAGTGGATTGAGCATCTCCCCATAGACTGAGAGGTCCCGGTTTGATTCCTGATTGAGGCACATGCCCAGGTTGTGGGCTCAATCTCCAGCAGAGGATGTACAGGAGGCAGCTGATTGATGTTTCTCTCTCACATTAATGATTCTGTCTCTAAAAAAATCAGTAAGAACATATTTTTTAAAAAGATATATAACATCTATGTATAAAGTTGCTAACTGTAACATTATTTTTGATGTTAGTAAAAATTGAAAAGTACCTAATAGCTCATAGGAATATAGCTAAGTAAATAATGCCATACCCATACATGTGTAACCATAAACACTGTTTGGACAATTTCTTAATAACTTGGGGAAATGCTTATGGTCTAATATCATATAAAAATATATACAATTGCATATGTGGAATGATCGCAATTTTATAGTGTATATATCATATATCTGGTAGTAAAGAGACTAAGCAAATATCTACCAAAAATTAAATTGTGTGATTATAAAAGTCATTTTTTTTCTTTTATACTTTTCTAAATTTTCCACAATAAACATTTATGTTTATACACAGAAGATAAAAACCAATATGTGTTTGCTGTTTATTGTTTAATTATAAAATAAAACAGAGATCATTTCTTCCAGAAAACCTTCCCTGAATTTCTTAGGTTCTAAGTCAACAAACACATTGTATTCTCTTAGCCAGTCTAACACACCTCTATCAGATGTTTCTGTGAGTATCTGGGATAAGACAGAAACTAAACAGGTAAACCTCATGTTTGCCACCACCACCACCCTTGTAGGAGGTTAGGTGCAGGGAGAGGGAATTTACCAATTCTAGAAGAGGCATCTGAGAGGCTTAGAGACTGATGACGACTTTTGATAGCTATGCGGGGGGCTACGGGTTCAAAATTTAAATATTCTCCTCTGAACCAGTTGTTCAAAGATTTCTAAGACAGCTGCTGTATGCATTACAATATTTTATTTAATTTACTGGGGTTACATTGGTTAATAAAATTATACAGGTTTAAGTTGTACAATTATATAATATGCCATATGTATATTGTATTGTGTGTTCACCACCCTAAGTCATGTCTCATTTCATCACCATTTATCCCCCCCTTTACCCTCTCCTGCCTCCTCCTCACTCCTATTTGCCATTACAATTTCAAAATGTTCTCTTTCACCAAGTCAGTGGGGTGAAACATGTCAACACCCAAGGGAGTTTCATCTGAATAAAGTTTTTATAAAATGGTACACACTACTAAAGAGTCACTTGCATTTTTCCTCTAAATGGTGGTTCTATTAGCATATTTTGAAAAATAACATTGGTTTCCCAACCAAGGGTTTAATGTCAAAAGGTAACTTTTTTAGATCAAAAGCTATTTGAATTCGCATAAGAATTGTAAATGTAAGGGACTTCCGGTCAAGATGGCGGCGTAGGGAAACGCAGTATCGCGTTCTGCCACAACCACATCCAAGTTACAACAAAACTACAGAACAACCATCATCCAAAATCGCCTGAAATCAAGCTGAATGAAAGTCCTACAACTACGTAATTAAAAAAAAAAAAAAGCAGCTACATCCAGACCGGTAGGAGGGGCGGCGGCGCGAGGGGTGGCGGCAGCGGCGGCGGACGGGCTGGTCCCACACCCAAGTGTGGCGGATAAAAATCAGGAGGCTCCCGTGGCTGGGAAGGTCCTTCCTGAGGACTGAGGGGTCCCCATCCCACACCAGGTGCCCCGCTCAGGTTTCCAGTGCCAGGAAGAGAATCCCCATAACTTCTGGCTGGAAAAACCAGCAGAAACTGAGGCTCAGGGAAGCTGACCTGGCTGGAGCCACAGGCAGCTCCCTAAAGGGCCCACGCACGGACTTATCGGACTCTCTCCCTCTAAGCTCGGAGGGGAGGCAGCTCGAGGGGCACCAGAGACATACAGAAAAGAACTGAGCTGTTTGGCACTGGAGCGAGGGCTGGAGAGGGAGCTTTCTCGGGGACAAACGTGCTGTAAGAGGCCTTTGTTCCTTTGGTGAGCCCTTCCCTGGAGCAGCAGACAGAAGCCATATCTGGGACTCCAGCAACCTGGCTCACACTGGTAGCCCCACCCTGCTGACTCCCTGAGGCCCCGCCCCGCCCCGCCCCACACAACTTTCAAGCCCACCTAAGCTGTTGCTACTTGCTTAACCATAGGATTGGCCTGTCTTGGATCCTGCTTCAGGTTTTTCCTAAATTCTTTCAAACAAGCAGCATCGGGTCTCAGCGAGCCCCATACCTCTCATTAAGTAATACACAGAAACAAACACAGAGAGGCAGCCAAAATGAGGATACAAAGAAACAGGTCCCAAATGAAAGAACAGAACAAAACCCCAAGAAAAGAACTAAGTGAAATGGAGATAAGCACCCTAACAGATGCTGAGTTCAAAATACTGCTTATAAGGATGCTCAATGAACTCAGTGAGGGCCTCAAGAGCATAAAAAAGTACCAGTCAGAAACGATCGCTGCACAGTTAGAAACGAAGGAGGCTTTAACTGAAATAAAGAATAATTTACATAGCTTCAATAATAGAGTACGTAAATCCAAGGAGCAAACCATCGATTTGGAATATAAGGAAGCAAAAAACGCCCAACCAGAACAGCAAAAAGAAAAAAGAATCCAAAAAAATGAGGATAGTGTAAGGAGCCTCTGGGACAACTTCAAGCGTGCCAACATTCGCATCTTGGGGGTGCCGGAAGGAGAAGAGAGAGAACAAGAAATCGAAAACCTGTTTGAAACAATAATGGCAGAAAACTTTCCTAACTTGGTGAAGGAAACAGACATACAAGTCCAGGAAGCACAGAGAGTCCCAAACAAGATGAACCCCAAGAGGCCTACACCAAGACACATCATCATCAAAATGCAAAAGGTTCAAGACAAAGAGAGAATCCTAAAAGCAGCAAGAGAAAGGCAGCTAGTTACCTACAAGGGAGTTCCCATTAGGCTGTCAGCTGATTTCTCAAAAGAAACTTTGCAGGCCAGAAGGGAGTGGCAAGAAATATTCAGAGTGATGAAAACCAAGAACCTACAACCAAAATTACTCTATCCTGCAAAGCTGTCATTTAGAATCGATGGACATATAAAAACTTTCCCAGACAAGAAAAAGTTAAAGGAGTTCATCACTACCAAACCGTTATTATATGAAATGATGAAGGGTCTTTTTAAAGAAAAAGATAAAATGTATGAACAAACAAAATGGCAATGAATACATATCTATCGACAATGGAATCTACAAACAAAATGAACAGGAAGAACAGGAACATTCTCATAGATACAGAGAACATTTTGTTGGTTGCCAGTTGGGAAAGGGGTTGGGGGAATGGATGAAAAAGGTGAAGGGAGTAAGAAGCACAAATTCATTCCTAGACTGACAAACCTCAAAGGGAAAGGGGTTGGGGGGGTGGGAAGAAATAAACCAAAGAACTTATATGCATAACCAATGGACACGGACAATAGTTTGGGAAAAGGTGGGAGGGGGGCGGGAGTGGGGAGGAGGGGGTCAATGGGGGAAAAATGTGGAACATCTGTAATGCATTTTACATCCAACAATAAAGATGTGGAAAAAAAAAAAAGAATTGTAAATGTAGATCTTTGGGCATTGGTTATATTTTTACATTACTGTTTAAAAAATGGAAGACCTATCTTTGAAAACTTTAAACATATTATTATAATAATAAGTCATAAATTCCTATATCTCTTTATAATAAGCTTTCAAAGTTGCTTTCATACACATTATTTCACCAAACTCTAATACTAACCACATGAGGCAGCTACTGTATTATCTCAATTTTATGGTATTTTCTTTGTAACATCTTATAAATATGCATTCATAATTATCAGATTTATCTATTGCTCAAATAAAGTAATAAAGACTATACTTAGAATAACAATATTAGTAACATTTGCCATATATTAATTGTCTCAGTTTTATCACATGTAAATGCAATGTAAATTATACCTCCTTCAGTAGATTATTAAGAAGGTTAAGAAATTTGATGTGTATTTAAAAACAATATTTATATATCTAGTTTATTTTTCAGACAGAAGCTCAAATAATGGACTGTCCAGTTCAAAACAAGACTTAATCTTGAGATGATCAGCAATGAAGTTCTTGGCACCTGGCCCAGTCTTAAAGTAGCTCCACTTCTCTAGGCACACAGCATATGAGAACAAGTGATTCATTCATTCAACAAATATTCAGCAGGCACAGTTGTAAGTCCTGGAGAAACACAGTGAAAAGGACAAACCTCTGCCCTCATGGATCTTACACTCTAGTTGGGGAAAGAATGAAAGAAGGGAGAAAAGGAGGAGAGAGATAAGAAAAAGAAAAGAAAATTACAGATAGCAATAATTGCACTGATGAAAATAAAACAGGGCCCTGGCCAGTTTGGCTCAGTGGTTGGAGTGTCGGCCTGCGGTCTGGAGAGACCCAGGTTCAGTTCCCGCTAAGGGCACGTACCTCAGTTGCAGTTTGTCCCCAGCCCTGGTTGGGTCATGTGGGTGGTGACCACTTGATGTGTCCCTTTCACGTCGATGTTTCTCTCTCTCTCTCTCCCTCCCACTCTATATGAACAAAATATCAAAAAAATAAAATAAAATAAAATAGGGCACTGTAAGAGAGTAATGGGTGGGGAGGGGGCAGATTTGGCTTCTTTGTATTGGGAGATCAGAGATGGCCTTTCTCAGGAGGTGACATTTGGGTTGAGAAAGAGCCAACCATAAAATAAATCTGGCAGAAAAACATTTAAAAGAGAGTGCACAGCAAATACAAAGAACCTAAGGCAAGAATGAGCTTGGTTGTGAAAGCAATAGATAGGCCATAATGGCTGGGGAGCAGTGAGTGACATGGAGTGGTATGCAAGGTCAGAGGACAGGAGAAGAAACCACAGAAGGACTTGCAGTTCCTGGTAACAAGTATGGACCTTATTCTTGATGCAACAGCAGCAGAATAGCTGGTAGAAGAGATGGGGTTTCCAAGCAGAGTGGACAGAAGCAATGCTTAACACATCCCCTGAGGAATGTATCAAATGAGAAAGCTGGGAAGCCAATAACCCCCTGAAGCTCTATGATAAACAGACCTACTTATTGCTTATATGACAATCTGACTCATTGATTACTAATTATAAGCCAAGCTCTGTGGATATAAAATGACCACAATATATTGAATTGCTTTTCAAACACAAACAGTTGGAAATGAAGAGACAATGGATTTCTGAAAATAGCAGCAACATGTAGTGTTCTTGAGAAAAAAAACAAAACTACAGATTGGTGTAAAATAGGGCTTCTCAACCCTGGTACTGTTAACATTTTGGATTAGATAATTCTCTGTTTTGGGGGCTGTCCTGTATTATAGGATGTTTAGCAGCGTCCCAGGTCTCTACATGCTAGATGACAATAGCACCATACCCCCCTAGTTGTGACCAACAAAAACATCTCCAGAAACTGCTAAATGTACCATGTGGGACAAACACTCCTGCTTGAGAACTCAGTATAATCGATAACTTAACTTTATATAGCTTTGTGATATATGTTCTAAGACAGGTTACGGTATTTTAATTTCCACTTCACAAGTTAAGAAATTGTAGTAACTATAAAGTAAAAATATTGTGGAATGACTAATTCCATTATTTCATTCACATTTGTGGGCTTGATACAATTCTATAGCTGTTAATTACAAATCTCTATTAAGCACATCCTATGTGCTAAGCACTGTTCTTGGTATTGGAGATAGAAAAGTGTTCAAGTGGATAAAAATTCCTGTCCTTATAGACCTGATATTCTCATGAGAAATGAGAGGGCAAACAAATAAGTAGGGGTATCATTTACAATGCTAGAAAGTGAGTAAGTGCAACAGAAAAGTTAGAAAGGGGGATACAGATTGCTAAAGTGGGGATGGGATAGAAATTTGCAATAGGATAATCAAGAAAAGTCTCACCACAAAGGTGATATTTAAATAAAGACTTACCGGGAAAAGGGAGCAAGCAGTGCTGAAAGCAGAAGGAACTGCTAGTGCAAGCTCCCTAAGGCAAGGGGGGGAGGGGGGAGAGGAGGGAAGGGGGAGGGGGGAGAAAGTGAGCTGGGTTTGTTATGGAAGAGCAAAGAAACCAGATGACTGGTCCATTCGACCAACTATGTTTACATTAATCACTAATCCGGGTAAAATGAAGTTCTCTGATTGACTTCATGGTCAGCTTCAATGTGGTAATTCCTTGATGTAGTTTCTTAGGGGATAAGGAATAGAGAAGGATTGATCCTGAGCACCTTGTAAGCCTTTGAAAATGTTAAGTGAGACCAGCAATTGAAGAGTAATTCCAAACATTTTACCTATGCGTAGCTCTTGAGGTGTCTCTCAAGTGGGGGAAATGGTCTTTGCATTTTCTCTTTCCCCATGTTTTCCTTTTGGGTTTCATCTAAAATGAAAGAAATCTTTCTATTTAAAAAGTAGAGAAAAATACTAGTCAAATTAGATTATTTTTAAAAAGTAAACTACAAGTTATGAGTCTGAGCTATATTGTTACCTGATCAAAGAAATAAATAGGCTCAGTAGCCAAAGATTTAGCTTCAGTAGAGTCTTCCATTCTGCCATGAGACCTAAGAAAGAGAAGTTAGAAATCTGAAAACAAGTTATGTCTACAAGCAATATTTCAAATATTTGATGGTTTTAAAGTTTAGATGTTTTATTTTCAATGAACTATAAAATATTGGGGGGGGGGGGTTGCAACACAACCATTCCTTTATCTCTATCTCCACTTCATAGGCTACTTGACATAGGTACAATCAGAAGGATTTCATGATACTGGCAAACAAAGCAATATCATGGTGATGCCAAGTTTCTCAACTTGGCATTTCTGACTTTTGGGCCAGATAATTGTGGTAAGGAGCTGTCTTGCTGTCTTGTGCATTACAGGATGTTTAGCAGTATCTCTGACCTCTACCCACCAGATGCCAGTAGCATTCCTTCTTACCCAGTTATGACAACAAAAAGTGACTCCAGACATTGCCAAATGTCTCCTGGGGATAAAAATTGTCCCTGGTTGAAAATGACTGTGCTGATGCAATAGCCCCCCCACCCCCATAGGTTTGAAAAGAAAGAAACCGATATAAGAATGAGTGATACTGGTAATGGCAACGTCATTAGAGCAGTGCCACTCAAATTGTGGTCAATGGACTAGGAGCATCAGCATCACCTGAGAGCTTATTAGAAATGCAAATCTTGCTAGACATTCTACTTTGAGTTATGGGGTACAAGATGCACCTCTGTGGTATGCGATTGTTTTGAGCTAAAGGCAACTTTAGCCTCAGGCTCACGAGAAACTTCTGCCCCTTCCTTAATAAGAAATTATCAGAGATAACCCCATTTAACCTATCTATAGGGCAAGAAAAACTTCTATTTACTAAGCAACTGTTCTTCTTATCATCTTGCAATAACTATTTGAAGCCCTCAAGGCACCTACCTCATCCCAAACTCAGGAAGTCTTCTTATATACCTTAATCCCCCTTTCTTATTTCATAAACTCTCATGCATGTGGGGTCCCTGACTCATATATGTGAGTTTCCCATATATGTGTATGTATTAAATTTGGTTATTTTCTCTTGCTAATCTACTAAAGGCTATTTAATTATTAGACTAGCCAGAAGAACCTTGAGGATAGAAGAAAATCTGTCCTCCCCAACAGCTATAACGTGATACATACATTTGTGAAAAACCTCATGTCCTGCAAAATTGTACACTAAAAATAATAAGGCTCATGGGAAAAATTGGGTGAGGGCGCATCACTTAAAATTTATGCTACTTTGGAACCATAGCACAAAGGAAAAACAACAATTGGTACCTCAGGAGTAACTTACACAGTCCAGGTAAGCACTTGTGGCCAGAGCTGCTTCAGGGGATATATTTTAAATACAACAGGGTAGAAATGCAAACATATGTGTACTGAAATGATGTGCATGAAGTAGATCTCCTTGCCAGTGGGGTTGACTTAAGGGGTGGGCACAGAAAAAAGTGAAACATGCCAGAATCTGAAACCTGTAAGTCTAATGATGTAATGATGTGTCTTTCTGGAGAGGGATCCATGAGGATTATTGCTCATTTTTATGTTTTTTGTTTGTATGTTTTAAGAGTTGAAAGAGTGTTTGCTAATGAAGCACCTGAACTGAAGGTTTTTTCTGTCCTAATAAAGGTTATAATTCTATTACCTCTACTGTGGCTTCTACCTTCACTAGAAAAATCAAGTATGAAAAATTGAGGATGGCAATTTCCACAGTACAGTGACAGCATTCCCTTATAGTCATTAGCTAATTTGCATTACAGAAACACAAATTGTGATAAAACAGACTATATATGTTTAGTTGGGAGGAGAGAATAACTAGCTAAAATAAATAAATGTATAGTATTTCAAATGTGGTCATTATCACCTTGAAGCAGAGACCAGGACCTGAGAAAATCAAGGAGTTAGTATAGTAAGAAGAGGGAAATAAAAGGATGATCCTAGCATAACAAAGAACTTCAAACAGTTCTAGTCTAGATTCACAACAAAAGGAAAGCTGGAGCTGTAAAAACAACTGAGCATTATGAGTACCCTAGACTCTTTCAAGAGGCGGGAGCAGGAAGGAGGAGGGTCAATGAGGGAAAAGGGGCAAAATCTGTAATACTTTCAACAATAAAGATAAATTTTAAAAATAAATAAATAAAAGAGGAAACTCTTCCCAACTCAGTCCATGAGGCCAGCATTACCATGATACAAAGACCAAAGGTATCACAAAAAGTCAACCACAAAACAATATCCCTTATGAGTGTAGACTCAAATATCCTTAACAAAATACTAGCAAATTAAAGTCAGAATCATATAAAAAGGATATACCTTATAGCCAAGTGGAATTTATCCCAGAATGCAAAGTTGGTTTAACATCCAAAAATCTACCAATGTAACAACCATATTAATAGAATAAAGGAAAAGAAACCACATGATCATCCTTATAGACACAAAAAAGATATTTGACTAAAACCAGCACCTTTTAATGATAAAAACATTCAACATTGCCCAGCCGGTGTGGCTCAGTGGTTGAGCGTCAACCCATGCACCAAGAGGTCCCTGGTTTGATTCGTGGTCAAGGCACATGCCCAGATTGTGAGACCAATCCCCAGTGTGGGACATGCAGGAGGCGGCCAATCAATGTTCTATCTCATCGATGTTTCTATCTCTCTCCCTCTCCCTTCCTCTATCTAAAAAAAATCAATAAAGAAAAAAAAAATGTTTTTAAGTAAGCTCCTCCTACTATTTAAAAAAAATCCAACAAACTAGGAATAAAAGGGAACTTCCTCAACCTCATAAAAGGCATCTTTAAAAAAACCCAGCTAGCCCTGGCCAGTATGCTCAGTGGTTAGAGCATCGGTCCGTGATCCAGAGAGACCAGGGTTCGATTCCCGCTAAGGGCACATACCTCGGTTGCAGTTTGTCCCGGCTCCAGTTGGGGTTGTGTGGGTGCCTGCCAATCGATGTGTCTCTTTTACATCAATGTTTCTCTCTCTCCCTTCCCTCCCACTCTATCTGAAGATAAATGCCAAAAAAAAAAGTACTTGGGTGAGGATAAAAAAACCCACAGCTAAAATATTTAATGGTGAAAGATTGCAATATTTCCCCCTAAAATCAAGAGCAAGATAAGGACAAGGGGTCAACTTTCACCACTTCCATTCTATATTATACTAAAAGTTTTTACCACAAGGCAATTAGGCAAAACAGAAGAAGAAAAAGAGAGACAGAGCACCCCATTTGAAAAGGAAGAAGTAAAACTATTTGCATGCGAAATGATCTTATAGGTAGAAAATCCTAAGGGATGCATGAAAAATTTATTAGAGATAATAAACAAATTCAGCTAGGTTGCAAGAATTAAGATCAATAGAGAAAAAGTAATTGTATTTTTATATGCTTGTTATAAACAAGTTAAAAGTGAAATTTAGAAAATCCTATTTACAATAGCATAAAAAATAAAATATTTAAGAATAAATTAAGCTAAAGAAGTACAAGACTTGTAACACTGAAGACTATAAAACACTGTTGTAATAAATTAAAAAAGACTGCCCTGGCTGATGTGGCTCAGTTGGTTGAGTGCCATCCCATGCACCAAGAGGTTGAAAGTTTGATTCCTGATCAGGGCACATGCCTGGGTTGTGGACTGAATCCCCAGTAGGAGGCATACAGGAAGCAACCAATCCATGTTTCCCTCTCATGAATGTTTCTCTCTCCCCCCCTCATTTCTTCTTTCTCTAAAATCAATAAAAAAAATTTTTTTAAATTAAAGAAGACTTAAATATAAGGAAAGACATCCTGTATTTATGTATTGGAAGACTTAATATTGTTAAGATGGTAATACTTCTTAAGTTGATCTACAGATTCAATGTAATCTCTGTCAAAATTCCAATGGTCATTTTTGAAAAAATTAACAAGCTAAATTTTCTAAAATTCACATGGAAATTCAAGGAACCAGAATATCCAAAACAATCTTGGGAAAAAAAAGAACAAATCTCTAATTTTGAAACTTAATACAAAAGCTACAGTAATCAGCCCTGGCCAGTTTGGCTCAGCGATTAGAGCGTCGGCCTGTGGTCCGGAGAGACCTGGGTTCGGTTCCTGCTAAGGGCACGTACTTCGGTTGCAGTTTGTCCCCGGCCCTGGTTGGTCGTGCGGGTGGCAGCCACTCGATGTGTCCCTTCACGTCGATGTTTCTCTCTCTCTTTCCCTTCCTCTCTCTCTCCCTCCCACTCTAGCTGTACAAAAAATGGAAAAATATCCTCGGGTGAGGATAAAAAAAAAAAATAATAATAATAAAAAGCTACAGTAATCAAATGTGGTACTGACAATGAGGATAGATATAAAAATCAATGGATTAGAATTGAGTCTAGAAATAAATCCTCATATTTATGGTAAATTAACTTTTGACAAGGGTGCCAAGACAATTCAATGGAAGAAAGAATAGTCTTTTGAATGCATGGTAACGGAACAACTGGATATCACATGTAAATGAATGAAATTAAACAATGACATCACACCATATATACAAAAAATTAACTGCAAACAGATCACAGAATGAAAAAATATTTGCAACTCATATATGTAGTAAGGGTCTAGTGTTCAGAATATATAAAGAACTCAAACTCAAGAATAAAAAAACAAATAACTCAACTTAAAATGGGCGAAGGATTTGGATAGACATTTCTTCTAAGAATATATGCAAAGAGACAATAATATATGAAAAGATGCTCAACATCATGAGTCATTAGGTAAATGCCAGTCAAAATCACAATGAGATACCACTTCATACCCACTAGGAAGGCTATAGTAAAAATAAAACAGACAATAATAAGTTTTGACAAGGATATGAACAAACTTCATGTACTGCTCATAAAAATGTAAAATGGTACAGTTGCTACTGAAAACAGCCTGGTAGTAAAACTCAAATTCAAAAAGATATATGTATTACTATGTTCATTGCAGCATTGTTTACAATAGCCAAGATAGGGCAGCAACCTAAGTGTGCATTGATAAATGACGGGATGAAGAAGATGTGGTACATATATACAATGTACTATTACTCGGCCATAAAAAAATGAAATCTTACCATCTGCAACAACATGGATGGACCTAGAGGATATTATGCTAAGTGAAATAAGTCTGATAGAGAAAGAAAAATACCATATAACTTCACTTTTATGTGAAATCTAAAAAACAAAATAAACAAACAAAATGAAAACAAACTCATAAATACAGAGAACTGATTGTTGCCAGATGGGAGGGGCTGGAGAACTGAGTGAAAAAGGTGAAGGGATTAAGAAGTACAAATTGGCAGTTACAAAACAGTCACAGGGATGTAAATTACAGCATAGAAAATATAATCAATAATACTGTAATAACTATGTATGGTGTCAGGTGGGAACTAGACTTATTGGAGGGATTACTTCATAAGTTATAAAAATGTTTATCCACTATGCTGTATACCTAAAACTACTATGACATTGAACGTCAAATGTAACTGAAAAATTTTTTTCAATTAAAAATAAACAAAGTAAAGGAAAAAAAGAAAGACTCATGGACACAGATAATAGTACGGTGAATGCCAGGGGGAGGGGGGAGTAAGGGGAAGTAGAAGAGGGTAAAAAGGGGATAAATGGTGATGGAAGAAGACTTGACTTGGGGTGGTAAGCACACAATACAATATACAGATGAAGTATTATAGAATTGTACACTTGAAACCTATATAATTTTATTAACCAATGACACCCCAATAAATTCATTATAAAAAACAAAAACCAAAAAACAGTGATACCCAGCCTGTGTGGCTCAGTGGATTGAGCTTTATCCCATGAATTGAGAGGTCCCGGTTCAATTCCAGGTCAGGACACATGCCTGGGTTGGGGGATTGATCCCCAGTAGGGGGTGTGCAGGAGGCAACCAATCCATGTTTTTCTCACGTTGATGTTTCTATCTCTCCCTTCTTCTCTCTCTAAAAAATAAGATGAAATAAAATAACAGTGGTAGTTCATCAAAAGGTTAAAAATCAAATTGTCATATGACTCAGCACTTATGTTCATAGACTTACACCCAAGAGAAATAAAAACACATTCATACTAAAAGTTACACAGGAAACTTCATAGCACTATTCATCATAGCCAAGAAGTAGAAACAGCCCAAATGTCTATCAACTGATGGATGGAAAATGTTCCCCATTTAGATAGTGGTGATGGTTGTACACTTGTAATTACTAAAACCTACAACATTGTACACTTTAAAATGGTAAATTTTATGGCACATAAATTATCATAATATTTTAAAAAGGAGTATCCAAGAGCCTCAGCCAGTTCTAGCTTCTATCCATACCAACCTAGAGATGTCAACCTCCAAAGATCAGGTCCTCAAAAATATGAGTGCCTTAAAAAGTACCTATTTGCTGTCCCACCAGCTGCTACTGGTTCAGACCCATAGAATATTAGAGATCTATTGGTTCTGACCTCAAAGTAACTTCATACCAATGTTCCATTCAGAATCTCAAGACCAGTTGGTTCCATTCATGTCTTTCATCTTAGTCATCCAGTTGCTAAAAATGTAAACATGCAGTTTCTAGATCAAGAAAGCCAACTGAGCACTATTTTTATCAGTTAGACTGACGTTATTTATTCTTTTTGTTGTTGTTGTTAATCCTCACCCAAGGATATTTTTTCCATTGATTTTCAGATAGAGTAGAAGGGAGGGGAGGTGGGAGGGAGAGAGAAAGAAACATTGATGAGAGAGACACATCGATTGGTTGCCTCCTGCACCACCCTGACAGAGGCCAAGGTTGAACCTACAACCCACGTACATGCTCTTGACTGGGAAGGCCAAGGTTCTAACTGCTGAGCCAAACTGGCCAGGGCAGACTGACTTTATTTATGTATCATAGAAATGTTCTAACAATACAGAGATTTAATATCTTACATGTTTGGAGAGTGACTAGCCTAGGGTTTTCCAGTTCAGTGGCTGAATAACATGATCATCTTTCCATCCTTCTGTGTTCTTCAGATTTCATCCTCAGTGATCATTCTCAGACTTGAAAACATCTAAAAGAAAAAAAAGGGCTATATTTTATTTTGTCTTATAAAAAATATTTAGTAAACCTTTTCCAGAAGTTCTCAATGGTTTTTCTTTGTGTAACACATCTATGCCTAAACAAACCACTGGGAAGAGGGGTTGGATTGTTGCATATTAGCTTAGACCAATCAGAGGTACCCTTGAGTTAAAGATAGGTTCACCTTGTTGGGAACATGTTTAGGTAGAGAAGACCTATGTCAGCAAGAGAAAATCTAAGAACAAATTCTGGGTATGCATCCAACAGTGTCTATTACAGGGACCCTGTGTCCATGATTTGCTTTTCATTCATGTACATTAAAGCAAAACTTCCCAGTTCACCAAGTCCTGCCCACAAACACAGAGGTCACAGCCAGTTTTTCCAATGCATCATTTTAAAATATGATTGGCATGTAATGCCCATCAGACATTTAAGGAAAACCTGCAACATGAAAGTGGAAGATCATGATAAGGACTTAAATTTTCAATTTTAACAGAGTAACTGATATTGAACACAAGACCTTCCACCAATCCAATTATCAAACTAAGAATAATAAATAAAATAACTGTTTTAGACATTGGTCAATAGGAAATATAGAACTGTGGTCCCTAATAGAAGAAGAAAAAAAATGAACAAACTTCTTGATCACCAACCATAGCTTTTTGCATGGAGGCACTTTCCAGACCACAGCACAGGGAGGGGCCAAACAAAGCATGATGGTGTGAATGAACTGAGTAGACAGAGATCAGGTATCAGGCAGAAAGAAGCTGTAGAGAGAAGTCTGCACAGGGAAAGACTCCACAAAACTATAGACAGAGAACAACTTCTGGAGAGCCAGAGGCTGAACAATGACCAAGGATTACATAAGAATGGGAGACTTTGGTGTTACAACCAGCCACAGCAGAGAGATCTCATTAACTACCCCAGGAATCTAGTAGACACCCCAGAAAGGCTGGGATTTAGGATTAGAGCTAACCTAGCACTACAGCAGCACTATTAAAGAGAAATATTATAAAAATAATTAAACATTTCCTTGTAACCTCTTAAAAAGTAAAAATCAACAGATAAACATAATAAAATATTTTATTTAACCAAGTATATCCAAAATATCATTTCAACATGTAACCAACATAGAAGATTATTGAGATGTTTTACAATCTCTTTTTCATACTAAGTCTGAAATTCAGTGTTCATTTTTCACTTATAGCATATTTCAAAACAGTCACATTTCAAGTGCTCAATATTCATACATAACTAGTGGATTTCATATTGGACAGTGGTGCCCCAGAGTAAAGACTACTCTAGCTCTGTCCAAAAACAGCTTAAAAACAAACCTTGAGAGCACCACACTCGGATGCAAGTAAATGCTTGAATAATATTCAATACTTTATTAAGAAAGACAATAAAAGTCATTCAAATAAGATTAAAAAATTTCTAGACATAAGAATTGGAAAATGTGACTCTTAACCAGAAGCAAAAATTATGAACTACTATGAATGGGTTTAAATATTTAAAGGAAAACATAAATATAATAAGGTAATAAATAGAAAACCTCAACGAGAAGTGGAAACTATAAAAAAAGAAACAAATGGAAATCCTAGAACTGAAAAATTCAGGATCTAAAATGAAAAATTAACTAGATGGTTTGACAGGAATTAGACATTATAGAATAAAAAATAAATGAAGTTGAAGGAAAAACAATGGGAGTCATCCAAACTGAAGCAAGAAAGAGAAAAAAAAATCATCCAAGCCTCAGTGACTGTGGGACATTATCAAATTGTCAGGTTCAATGTCTGGTGAAGTCCAGCTTCCTGGTTCATAGACCGCTGTATTCTCACTGTTGTCCTCACATGGTGGAAGGGAGCGAGGAAGCTCTCTGGGGTTTCTTTCATAAGAGCACTAATACCATTCATGAGGGCTCTGCCCTCATTACTTAATCACTTTCTAATGCCCCCCCCCCTCCAAATACAATCACATTGCAGGGTAGGTTTCAACATATGAATTTGGGGGAAACACAAATATTCAGTCTATGGTACCATATAAACAAAAAAGTCTGTGGGTCCTTGTTATTTTTTCAAGTGTAAAAGCGTCCTGAGACCAGAAGTTTGAGAACTTCTGTCTCTTTTCCATATACAGCCTCAATCACAATATATTCCTAGTTCACCTCTGCCTTTAACACCAAAATAACCCTCATTCTTTAGTCAGTAGTAGAAACCATTATCAGAACAGATGGGAAGAGAAAGCCTATGAATAGTAGTAATTCATAATTCTAGTATGTAACTCATCTTTCTTTTGTGAACACTTGATACTGATTTTTATGTAGCCCTGGCCAATAAACACTTGAATTCTCCATGTGGGTAATGATACTACTGACATCTTGGCCACAGGTATATTGCTTGGAACCCTATAGTCTTTCCTAAAGTCTAGCCTAAATACATGGGTGCTACATAGAGATTATGGGGAAGGTAAAGAAGTTCTATTATTTTCTAACTATCTCCTGTTACAAAAGAAAATAATATATTGTAAGATGAAAGGTAAAGCAGGATATCTTTGGAGAGAACTAAAAGAGGGAAAGAATCACAGAAGAGAATGTGGTAAGAGAACAACATTTAATTTCAAGAAGAACAAAAGAGGTGAGCATTGCAAGAGTCATTGATGAAATGGGTTTCAGATAAAAGATCCTTTGCTCCTCGAGCTGATGTCCAGAATAGTGCATCCCAACATCTTGGGAGAATTCTTCTTTTGGTGCCCTCTAACAAAATTGTTCTCACTCAAGTCACCACAGGGTTCCTAATGGCTACAATCAATGGTCTAGTTTGAAACTTTTTACTATTTACTTTCTTCAACAGGTTATGCTATAGCTGAACAAACTTTTGTTTTGTAAATTTTTTTCTCACTTCCCTGTGATTATTCTCTAAAGTATTTTCTCCCTTTTGATCTACTATACCTTTGTAGTTTTCTTACCAGAACTTCCCACCCTTGTTTCTTATAGTCAACAACAAAGCCCTAAAACACTAATGTCCTCCTGGGTTGTGTTCTGTTTCTGGTTCTTTTCTCTTCTCCCTGAGCTACCTCATTCATAGCCTTCTACCACACCCAAGTAAGCCCTAATAATTCTCACTATCTCTATATGCATGTTTCTCACTGACTACTAGATATCTTTGCCTGGATGCTCTGCAGGCATCTCAAACTTAACATGCACAAAGTTTATCTTCCCCTCCACCTCCTCCAAAACCTACTCCTCCTTTCCAATTCCTTATCTTACAAAGTAGTACCACTATCCACCCAGGAATGCAGGCCAGAAACCTGGGTGTCATCCTCAACTCTTCCCTGTCCATACTTAATAGATCATAAGTTTTCCTTTAAAAAATTTTTCTTCTTGCCCTGGCCGGTTTGGCTCAGCGGTTAGAGCGTCGGCCTGTGGACCAAAGAGGCCTGGGTTCGGTTCCCGCTAAGGGCACGTACCTTGGTTGCAGTTTGTCCCCGGCCCTGGTTGGTCGTGTGGGTGGCAGCCACTCGATGTGTCCCTTTCACGTCGATGTTTCTCTCTCTCTCTTCATCTCTCTCCCTCTCACTCTACCTGAACAAAAAAAAATGGAAAAATGCCCTCGGGTGAGAAAAAAAATTTTTTTTTTTCTTTATTGATTTTTGGAGAGAGAAGAAGGGAGATAGAGGGGGAGATAGAAACACTGATGAGAGAGAACATCAACCGGCCTCCTCCTGCATGCCTCCCACAGGGGATCTGGCCCACAACCTGGGCATGTGCCCTGACCCGGAATCAAACGGGTGACCTCTTGGTGCATGGGTCAATACTCAACCACTGAGCCACACCGGCTGGGCAATCATGTTTCCTTAATTCTACGTTAGAGATGTTTCTCCAACCCAATCTCTGCTCTCTAGCCCACTAAGAGCCTTCCCCTAAGTCCTTATCAATATTTTTATCAACAATAACATCTTAGCAAGTCTCTCCTACTACCAGGATCTGCCATTTCCAATTCTTTCTTTAAAATACAGGATATCATTTGCCCTGGCCAGTGTGGCTCAGCAGTTAGAGCGTCGGCCTACGGTCCAAAGAGACGTGTTCGGTTCCCACTAAGGGCTCGTACCTTGGTTGGTTTGTCCCCGGCCCTGGTTGGTCGTGCGGGTGGCAGCCACTCGATGTGTCCCTTTCATGTCGATGTTTTTCTCTCTCTCTCTCTTCCTCCAACTCTATCTGAACAAAAAATGGAAAAAAATGTCCTCAGGTGAGGATAAAAAAATAAATAGAATACAGGACATCAGACTTAGGTATTTCACTATTGAGAATAGTTTTTTAAAATGGTTTTGAGAACTGACATAATGTAGCCTTTTTTAAAAAAAAATTTTTGTCAGAGCACAAAAAAGCAACATCACCTGTTATTTCATAATAATAATTTTAAAATACTATTCAACTTTAAAAAGCAGAAAGTACCATATTCTCAAAATAGAAAACAGTTCTTTAAATATACTTGGCTTTTGCCCTGGCCGGTTTTGCTCAGTGGTTGGAGCGTCAGCCTGTGGACCAGAAAGTCCCAGGTTCAGTTCCCGCTAGGGGCACGTACCAAAAAAATAAAATAAAATAAAGAAAGAAGTCCCCTTTGATTTCTCCTGAGGTTGACCAGCCACATCTTGCCCTCAATGTGAAGACCTTTAGACGCTTTAAAGATTCCTTAGCTTTGTGACAGACTAACGTGGAATAGAAAAATAACTAATAAATAATGTAAGGAAAGTATTAGCATCTTATTTTGGTATTTCTGTACACATTTATTTCATTGAATGCTAAACTTTCTTGAGGGCGCAGGTTTGTGTCTCACTCATTTTTGCGTCTTCCACCAATAGAAACTACTTCTAGTCTACTATCAATAAATATTTACAGAACTGGTATGAAATTTCAGTTGGGAAGGCAGACTATAGAATTAAACTTTTGGTGCCTGAAAAGTTTCAACGGTCTAAATCTGGATTTTGGGTTCTAACTCTATTTACTTGCTGTATGAGCTGGTGCAAATGACCAAACTCTCTGATTTCAACTCCAACGTGGTTTAAATGAGATACTGAAGGAAAAGTACTTGGCACGTCTCAGGTGCTATTTATACAACGAGTAATTACTGAGCTCCTACTACGCTCTAAATCAGAGGTAGGTGCTGGCGATGAGTCTTCATGGAGCTAGGGAGACAGCCAGAAAGCCCCCGCGCGAATGAAGTACGAATGAATGGCCAGGGAGAGAGGGTGGAGGACTCCGAGAGGGCGCGCAGGGCCTGACGGTGCTGGGGAAGGGTTCTCCGGGAGGGGCGCTCCAGCTGGCCCTGGAAGGACGAGGGGCTCGTTTCCTCGCGCTCCTCAACTCGTCCGGCTCCCACTTGTCCGCCTGAACAGGCTTGCTAAGGCCACCAGCGGCTTCTGCGTGACTGTCGACACCTGACACGTGTCAGCCCTCTTACTTGACCTTTTCCGAGCGCTCGACGCCGTCGGTCGCTCCCTCCCGCAGACGCCGACTGGCTTCGCTAAGAAACGCCTCTATCTCGTCCCCTCCGCGGGCTCGTGTCCGCTTAAATGCCTGGACGGCCTCGCCGTGAACGGTAATTGTGAAGAAGAACGCAGTCCTTTCTGAGTCACGGAAAAGGAGTGTGTACGCGTGAGCACATTTTTTAAGCCCCTTTCCTCGCTCCCGGTGCGCTTTATAAAACCTCGAATGTAAAACTCTTCAGTCGCAATACAGACTCCCGTCTCCTGCGGACTGCGCCTGCCCACAGACACGGGCACTCAACATCACCCTACGCGGGCTGATTTGCCCCGGGGACGCCTGAGGCGCGGGAGGAGGCTGGTGTCGGGTTCCGCAGCAGCCAACCGCAGCCAGGCCCGCCTCCGCCACGTTTCAGGCACCGCCGCGCGAGCGCCGCAACGGAGACCAGCCAGCCGCCCAACCGCGAGCGGCGCCCGCAAGCAAGTCCTCCGCCGTCCCGGCATTCCCTGCGCCCCACCATCCAGAGCGGCTTCCGGTGTCGCTGGTGTAGGTGGGTGAAGAAGGAGCGGGCTTTCACTGCTCAGTCTCACTCTCTCGCGCTCTGTCGGGCAACATGGCCGCCGTGGAGGAGGCAGCGTCCTCCGGGAGCCTGCTGAATGGCGACCTGGATCCAGACGACAGAGAAGAAGGAGCTGCCTCTACGGCTGAGGAGGCAGCCAAGAAGAAAAGACGAAAGAAGAAGAAGAGTAAAGGAGGTGCTACAGGTAAAGGGAGTTTAATGTGTTTCCAGGGATGGACGAACGACTCGACTCAGGCCCGGCGTGGGTGACAGGGATCAGGGACTCAGAGCCCTGGGCTGGACTGATTCCCAGAACTGAGCGGGTGGCAAGGCCGGGCTACAGACTCTCAGCCCCGGGGAGAGGCGGCTTCTCCTCCTGGGGGATTAGGGAGCTGGTGGAAGCGTGGTGGGGGAGAAAAGGGTACCTCAGCTTCTCGTGAGGTAGCTCTGGGGTCGGTAGGCCGGAGCCCTAAATTGCCAGAAATCAGCTCCTATGCAGACCGTGCAACAGACTTGAAGCCGTGCATGGAGCCCAGCCCTACCTTCCACCTTCCTCGCGGATTGGCCTCCTCAAAAATCTGGTTCTGACCCGTACAGCTGCCTCTTTGCTAGAATATCTTGGGACTTAACTTTAGTCTAGGGTGAGGGTGCAGTGGGCAAGTCCTAGTGCCTAGTCCGCACCGTACCCTACCAGCCCATTTACAGAGGGATTTTTAGGGAGGCAGGGTGTCTGCCCAAGCGCTCATGTCACTGAGTTGTAATTGCAGGATGTAGGGTGGTGGTTCGGATTTTCACCTGTCTAATCCCACAGCATCGTCGAGTTTTAGGGTTTTTAGGCTTGAATTATAATGCCATTGCAGGCAGTTGGGATAGGATATTCTGGGGTTCAGTTGAACTTCTCCAAATCCACTCAATGGTAAGATAAGAAAAACAGCTGAAAGTTCACACTTGAATTATATTAAGAGTTAGGAATAATAAATATTTTATTTTGAGAAGTCACTGTTTTTGTTGCACAAGGCCCTTCATTTTAGGAAAAATTATTTGTGCCTGTCTCATTTTAGGAAAAATTAGTTGTACTTGTTAAAGCCACAGAAAGAATAAGAGAAAAATGGGGAGGCCAGAAGTGATGAATGTGGAGTTGAGAGAGGTTGGAGAGGGTTAATCTGTATCTTTCTGAAATTTTGATTAGATGGGAGTTGAAGAGAGTTGTAGGTGCTGGGACACATCCAGAACACAATTTAATCCCAGGACATAGGCTAGTGGTTCTTCCTGGCTTTCAGATGAAGTCCAAACTCTTCAGTTTGGCCTTTAAGGTGTTCAGCAGACTGACCCTAATGTATTTTTAACAGTTGTATTTCTCAATATGAATCTTCTGCAAAAGCCAGAATGTCACTTCATTGTGTACCATCTCATAATACTATCTACACACACACATTGCTCCTCCAGCTAGATTGCAATCACTTCCAGAGCAGGGGCCTGGTCTTATGCTTAGCTGTTCAAGAATTGTGTTTTTTGGTAATGGAATGTCTTTTTCTATTTATTTTTATTTTACTTAGCCCAGCTTTACAGCTTCTTTCTTCATGACTCCCTGAAGCCCTCAGTGTCCCACAGAAATCCTCTTCTTAATTAAGGCCTTCAGTGTTTATTGACTGTCTTAAGTACCTGTTTGGTTAATAAAACATTTGTTGTGGTCTAATTGTTAAATACTTTAAAAAGTTAAACTACTTAAGTATAGGGACCAACTCACACTTTTGTTTCATCTTAAGCTGCTGTCACAGAGAATGTGTAATAGATATTTTGTTGAATGGACAATACTACTGAGGTTTGGGAGCCTTTTCTCTGTCATTAAATAAATTCAATAATGTTTCTGTTTTTGTTTCCTAAACACTTATCAGGAAAGGACTTGTGTGTTCTCCAGTATCCTTAGAACATATTCTAGTGGAAAAGTATCTTTACTCGATTTGATTTATGTTATTATATTTTATTAGCAGGGCAACAGGAACCTGATAAAGAATCAGGAGCCTCAGTTGATGAGGTAGCAAGACAATTGGAACGACAAGCATTGGAAGAGAAAGAAAGAGATGATGATGATGAAGGTAAATGGTTAATTTGATGTTTGTAGTTAGAAAAGCAAGAAAATACAATGGTATACAATGGTCTTTTTTTTTTTAGTCCTCACCCAAGGAGATGCTTTTATTGATTTCAGAGGAAGGGAGAAGGGGAGGGAGAGAGAGAGACATTGTTGTGAGAGTGAACATTGATCAGTTGCCTCCTGTATGTGCCCTGACCAAGAATCAAACCTGTCACTTTCTGGTGTACAGGGAGATGCTCCAACCATCTGAGCCACACCAGCCAGGGCGAGACGTTCTTTAAACAAAATCTTCTTGTTTGTCCATATAGTCTATTATTTTCTGACTTTTTTCTTTATTGATGGTAAAACCTCAATGTCACAGATAAAAAGGAAAAGGAGTTTATTAGCAACTCTGTAAAAAGTTGGATATGTTAAATAATTGCTCAAATAACACAGTTCTCAACTTTTAAAATGTACTTGGTAAAAGGCCAAGTACTGGGTAAGTATTAATAAGATAAACTTGAAGGGTTGTTTATTTAACTTTTATTTAACTAACATTTATTGTAAGTATTAATAAGATAAACTTGAAGGGTTGTTTATTTAACTTTTATTTAACTAACATTTATTGAACAACTAGTATCTACTAGGCACTATTCTAGGATACTTTCACGTGCATTCTCATTTTATTCTCAAAAAACCAAATAAAGTAGGTGCTTTTCTCGGGAAATGATAATTATGTGATTTTCCCAATGTGACATAGCTAGAATGTGTAGAATAGTACCACAGTTTTAAATCTAGCATGTTATTCTAAGTCTGTTCCTTTTACTCTCTGTACCAAAGCTACCTTCTTTTAATTCTCAAAGGAGCATTTGGAGTGCTTCTGAATTCTGTTATAAATTCCCTGATCCTAGCTCCTTGTGGTATTTTGGTGCTATTAGATTTCTATGAAAATGGCAATAGACTTCTAGGAATGACAATGGAGGGAGTGATTAAGAGAACTAGTCTAGCCCTGGCCGGTTTGGCTCAACGGTTAGAGCGT